AAACAGCTGTGTCGGGTATTGGAATGATGTTTTGATCTTTTTAGTGTGAATACTGATGTAAAGTATTCATTCAGAGTGTTGGCTGCCTTTGTATGTCAATGATAACTTGACTGGTCTTTATTTCGTGGGTCTTTCTGTGTCTTTTGGTCTTAGATTTACTAATATAAGCATAGTAGATCTTGGGTTGTTTCTTAATAGTTTGAGCAACTTTTCTTTCAAAGTTTCTTTTGACTGATCTGATTTCCTGGATAGATGAGTTTAATGCCATTTTTGTATGTCTCGAAATGTATGTAATCCCCGGTGGATTAATACTTCTTAAGAGGTTTAGCTTAGTTGTCAAAATGGGACAACGGCTTCAGGCTTAACAAAGCACAATGTAATGCACACAAGGGGCAACATCTGCAACTGTCGACGTCACCCACCAGCACTGCAGTTATCGATCGAAGTCACTCACAAGTCCAGCAGTTGTCTAAGTCACTCACAAGCCCAGCAGTTGTCGAAGTCACTCACAAGTCCAGCAGTTGTCGAAGTCACTCACAAGCCCAGTAGTTGTCTAAGTCACTCACAAGTCCAGCAGTTGTCGAAGTCACTCACAAGCCCAGTAGTTGTCTAAGTCACTCACAAGCCCAGCAGTTGTCGAAGTCACTGTTACGAGCACGGAGCAGCGACGTCAACGCCATCTGTGAGTCCGCTCCCGAAACCCCCCACAACATGGACGACGCCATCTAGGGGCGACAGGAATATACCAGCCAGAAATGCTAGATTCTTGTCCTAGTAGCTCGTGAGGTAGCTGATGCTGACCTCTAGTGAGGTAGTGTTTAGAAAAGCAGCGCCATCTGCCATAAGCGGAGTTGGATGTATGTGTCTAAGCCAGTAAGTGATGTTTCCTAGTGGTCCCATGTAGTGTCCCAGTGTACTGATGAACTGTAAAGTGTTCTACTGTCTGTCTGTGAAGTGGCAGTGACGGGATTCGCCGTACCCGGGGCTGGCTAGTAGAAGAGACGACTGACTAAGGTGCCGAAAGAGGAGAGTAACCAGCGAGTTGCACGAAGCTCCTGCCTAGGGCTCGTAACCCTAGTATTCGCTCGTGAAGTGGCCCCAGCAGCGCTAGGCTGATTGGTACCTGCCAGCACCAGGCTGGACTGTGGTTGTGGGCCTTCACGAAGAGGCACTTAGTGGGATTGTGGTTTGGCTGGCCCGTGGCCAGGGTAGACTCATTGTTGTTTCCCGGTACCTGCTGAGGGTAGTACCACGGATGAGGAAACACGGTACAAGACTGCATCGATTGAGCTTCGCCGAGTGTTTAGTGTCTCCTGAGAGAGACGTTGGTGTACACATGGTGTAGTAATATTTCCTTTTAAGAGTCATATAAATATATATGGTGATGGGAAAATAATTATATATGGATAAAGTGATGAACTGTTGTATTTAATGTACCTCCCCTTTTGTTTTACTTGCATTACTGAGCTCACCCCTTGAAAGCCTCTACTAACTTGGGGCCGGATACCAGAACTTTCGTACCACCAGAAAAGAACCCGGTTGCGTCCCATTAGGGCCGTAACACTCACAAGTCCAGCAGTTGTCGAAGTCACTCACAAGCTCAGCAGTTGTCGAAGTCGCTCACAAGCGCTGCAGATGACCTTGAAATATATAAAGATTCCACGAAGGCAGGAATGGTGAAGTGGGAAAACAAGCAGAGCAAGATTTCAGCTATAGAGGCTGTCAGGGGAGCTGGACCCAACTACAGTTAAGGACGTACGTCTGTCTGTCAGGGCTAGACCTAACTGCAGCGTCAGAGTTAGGGAAGTGTGTGTGTGTGTCAGGGCTAAACCCACTTAGTACAAGTTGTAGGCATTTGATAACATTGGAACCAAAGCCCTTTATTAATACATTTTGCCAGCTGTCAACCACGTACGGACGCCACGGTGGCGCCCTGAGCAGTATCATATTGTAGTTTATTGACCTATTTTTTTTACCTAGCCCGAGGCAGTAAAGAATGTTCAATTAGCAGAGGGTCAAGACTTACGGGCCTTGGAACCTGATCTTTCGCACTGGTCACTTGACCCACCCCGAGGGCGGCGGACCGGTGAGCATCACACCTCTGGCAAACACTCCACCTTCAACTCTTTGTTTACTTTTTGAGAAATATATACATATAATATATATATATATATATATATATATATATATATATATATATATATATATATATATATATATATATATATATATATATATATATATATATGTCGTACCTAGTAGCCAGAACGCACTTCTCAGCCTACTATGCAAGGCCCGATTTGCCTAATAAGCCAAGTTTTCATGAATTAATGTTTTTTCGACTACCTAACCTAACCTAACTTTTTCTACTACCTATCCCAACCTAACCTATAAAGGTAGGTTAGGTTAGGTTAGGTAGGGTTGGTTAGGTTCGGTCATATATCTACGTTAATTTTAACTCCAATAAAAAAAATTTGACCTCATACATAATGAAATTAGTAGCTTTATCATTTCATAAGAAAAAATTAGAGAAAATATATTAATTCATGAAAACTTGGCTTATTAGGCAAATCGGGCCTTGCATAGTAGGCATAAAAGTGCGTTCTGGCTACTAGGTACGACATATATATATATATTAAATTATAGCAGCAATTTATTGGTTATATTTACTAATAAGATGAGTGAATGTAAGTTGAGATGCGAAATAATAGGATTGCATATTATTTGAATTTGAATCGTGTTTCCGGGGAGGCCGGTGGTGCTGGTATTAGATTCAAAACGACGTTTACGGGAATGTAGTGTCCGGTTAATGTATGACTCGCGTACGGTAAACTGTTTAGTGGACGGCCGCAGCCGTGCTAGCGATGATCTGGCTTTCGTCCCTCGCGCAGGAATTCAGCGACATTCCGCTTCCCCAGCTGGTACAACCCTGCCTCTGTAGCTGGTACAACCCTGCCTCTGTAGCTGGTACAACCCTGCCTCTGTAGCTGGTACAGCCCTGCCTCTGTAGCTGGTACAACCCCGCCTCTGTAGCTGGCACAACCCCGCCTCTGTAGCTGGTACAACCCTGCCTCTGTAGCTGGTACAACCCCGCCTCTGTAGCTGGTACAGCCCTGCCTCTGTAGCTGGTACAACCCCGCCTCTGTAGCTGGTACAACCCCGCCTCTGTAGCTGGTACAACCCTGCCTCTGTAGCTGGTACAACCCTGCCTCTGTAGCTGGTACAACCCTGCCTCTGTAGCTGGTACAACCCCGCCTCTGTAGCTGGTACAACCCCGCCTCTGTAGCTGGTACAACCCCGCCTCTGTAGCTGGTACAACCCCGCCTCTGTAGCTGGTACAACCCCGCCTCTGTAGCTGGTGCAACCCCGCCTCTGTAGCTGGTGCAACCCCGCCTCTGTAGCTGGTACAGCCCTGCCTCTGTAGCTGGTACAGCCCCGCCTCTGTAGCTGGCACAACCCCGCCTCTGTAGCTGGTACAACCCTGCTTCTGTAGCTGGTACAACCCCGCCTCTGTAGCTGGTACAACCCCTCCTCTGTAGCTGGCACAACCCCGCCTCTGTAGCTGGTACAACCCTGCTTCTGTAGCTGGTACAACCCCGCCTCTGTAGCTGGTACAACCCCTCCTCTGTAGCTGGCACAACCCCGCCTCTGTAGCTTGCACAACCCTAGTGGCCTCGACGGGGACAGGAAGCCGACGACTTGTTAACCCCGCCTCGGGGTTAAAGGTTCCTTCTCCTTTGTCTCTAACGGTTTTTTCTATCTGGTCTTGACTTCGGAATTATCTGAATCAATTGCTAGTTTGCACATGTTCCCTCGTGTCAAGCATAAATTCTCCTAACGTTACGAATTAATTATTGACTGATGTGTTGCTCGGTCCGATTGAATCAGACAACTCTAATGTTATTGTACTAGTAGATTAGCTTTTGTTTTGTCCCGAACACTGGGCAGGGAGCTTCATGTAGCAACAAATACTTCCCTACACTATACAACACATGTAGATGTTGCCACATCAATAGTGTACCCAGCATGTAGATGGAGCCACATCAATAGTGTACCCAGCATGTAGATGTTGCCACATCAATAGTGTACCCAGCATGTAGATGTTGCCACATCAATAGTGTACCCAGCATGTAGATGTTGCCACATCAATAGTATACCCAGCATGTAGATGTTGCCACATCAATAGTGTACCCAGCATGTAGATGGAGCCACATCAATAGTGTACCCAGCATGTAGATGTTGCCACATCAATAGTGTACCCAGCATGTAGATGTTGCCACATCAATAGTATACCCAGCATGTAGATGTTGCCACATCAATAGTGTACCCAGCATGTAGATGTTGCCACATCAATAGTGTACCCAGCATGTAGATGGAGCCACATCAATAGTGTACCCAGCATGTAGATGTTGCCACATCAATAGTGTACCCAGCATGTAGATGTTGCCACATCAATAGTGTACCCAGCATGTAGATGGAGCCACATCAATAGTGTACCCAGCATGTAGATGGAGCCACATCAATAGTGTACCCAGCATGTAGATGTTGCCACATCAATAGTGTACCCAGCATGTAGATGGAGCCACATCAATAGTGTACCCAGCATGTAGATGTTGCCACATCAATAGTGTACCCAGCATGTAGATGTTGCCACATCAATAGTGTACCCAGCATGTAGATGGAGCCACATCAATAGTGTACCCAGCATGTAGATGTTGCCACATCAATAGTGTACCCAGCATGTAGATGTTGCCACATCAATAGTATACCCAGCATGTAGATGTTGCCACATCAATAGTATACCCAGCATGTAGATGGAGCCACATCAATAGTGTACCCAGCATGTAGATGTTGCCACATCAATAGTGTACCCAGCATGTAGATGGAGCCACATCAATAGTGTACCCAGCATGTAGATGTTGCCACATCAATAGTGTACCCAGCATGTAGATGGAGCCACATCAATACATTATACACCTCGTGAAGCTGTAGCTACAGCCATGCGCTTTACACCTCGTGAAGCTGTAGTTACAACCATGCGCTTTACACCTCGTGAAGCTGTAGTTACAACCATGCGCTTTACACCTCGTGAAGCTGTAGCTACAGCCATGCGCTTTACACCTCGTGAAGCTGTAGTTACAACCATGCGCTTTACACCTCGTGAAGCTGTAGCTACAGCCATGCGCTTTACACCTCGTGAAGCTGTAGCTACAGCCATGCGCTTTACACCTCGTGAAGCTGTAGTTACAACCATGCGCTTTACACCTCGTGAAGCTGTAGCTACAGCCATGCGCTTTACACCTCGTGAAGCTGTAGTTACAACCATGCGCTTTACAACTTTTTGATTCAGTTGATGAATTACTCATTATGGTTTGACATGAGCCACACGAGACATGTGCAAACTAGCAATTACTGTAATTCAAATAATTCCGAAGCCAAGACCAGCATTTGTCATTATTAATTGATGACAAGGTTAAATAAAATATAAATCTACTTAATACCATTATATTATCTCTATAGAAACATTTGTTCTGACTGAAGATGTGTTTTTTAACATTTATGTTGCGATATCTATCTCGGCCGTCAACCTCAGTTTACATCTCGGCCGTCAACCTCAGTTTACATCTCGGCCGTCATCCTCAGTTTACATCTCGGCCGTCAACCTCAGTTTACATCTCGGCCGTCATCCTCAGTTTACATCTCGGCCGTCAACCTCAGTTTACATCTCGGCCGTCAACCTCAGTTTACATCTCGGCCGTCAACCTCAGTTTACATCTCGGCCGTCATCCTCAGTTTACATCTCAGCCGTCAACCTCAGTTTACATCTCGGCCGTCATCCTCAGTTTACATCTCGGCCGTCAACCTCAGTTTACATCTCGGCCGTCAACCTCAGTTTACATCTCGGCCGTCAACCTCAGTTTACATCTCGGCCGTCAACCAGTTACTAATCACCACAATAGCTCGCTAACCAACCAGCAGGTAAACTTTAGGCTTGAATATTATCCTGGACTAAAGTAAACTCAGTGTATATGCATCAAGAAGAGGGGGTATATATCTCTTGGTGTATATAGCCTTGTTACATATTTTTGTCCAACCTCTCAGTGGCGTAGTGAGCATGGCAGCTGTTAAAGCCCCGCTTATGTATATAAGCATAAGTATTAACATCTTAATCTTGTTTATAATCAGTTTTAAAAATATAATTTAAGACCATGTTAATATATTGGTATCCTAATATGCTCTTTTTTATGAATATCTAATTCGCAAATATCATAGTTCTTTCCCACTTAAAAACAGCCATTAACAGGCTGTTGTTACATACAACGAATGGCTTTCGCTCCCTAAACACACCCATACATATGCACCAAAATTATTTATACAGTTTGTCCTAAAGTTCTTTCAGAAGTGGTCCAATGCCGTGAAGGGGTTCCGGCTCCATGTCCTTCCCTCCTGGAGGTTGTTCGTCCATTCTTCAGTACTTGGGTGAGCCGATCCTACGACACTTGTAGACGTAGGCCTCCTGCAGGATATCGTCCTCGACCCTGATGCAGCGAGTGCCCGAGGGGCAGTCACACCTGAAGGAACATCACATATAGCGGTCAGGCGTTATGTCTTAACCTCAGGTGAGCAGTACTCAACATATACGTTAATTCTGGAAGTCATACTAAGTAAAATATGCTGATTTTGTTTTTAATGATATGGTAAATATAATAAAAAAAATATCCTATTTCTCAGTATATTCAATAACAGAAAACTTTATTCCTAGACTATACAGAACTAAGCTTATGTTTGCTGATTGGATAGTAAGCTTTTGCAGTGACCTTAATAACCTTCCCGCAGTCGAAAAACGCTTTCTTATACTACACAATTTTGTCCTTTACTTCTCACATTACTCCCTTTCTTCAACCTTCTCGCCTATCATCTCACTCTTACATTATATATATTGCCTTGACCACTTTTGTTACGTTACGTCTTCATAATGGTCCAAGACGGACCGAAACGTCGTCAGTTCCTATATTTTGAGTTTTGTGGATTGGGTGTCTAATTTTCACTCACATTATTGTGACTGCAATATAACGTTATATTCATGGCAATGTAGTCTTATTTCTTAATATATAATCACCAGAATTTAGTCTTTACATTGAACTTTACACTTTAGGGGAATATATTAAATATGGTTTTAAAATAAAGCGATTTCAGTCGTATTGACCCTGGAAGCCAATCGGCCATGGACATAAAGAGCTGAGTACACAAAAGACAGAAGTCCGCAGTCGTGTCTATACATATTTCACTTGCAACTATTTATTTTCCTTCTTTCTCAAAACTTACTCTTATGCTCCCAACATTTTCCAGAGGGCAAAGCTGAAGAGGAAGTAGAAGGTACAAGTAAGCGTCTGCCATTTACTTCTGAATGGAAGAAGGAAACCTGAGGAGTATGCTCATAAGGAGGAATATAGATGTAGAATGGGAAGACTGACTGACTCGTTCCGTAGATAGTAGACATGCCGTCGAAGGTCGCCGTAGATCTCCCAGCCACACGGACTCTGCCTGTCGCACTCGGCGCCAACATCATTGAGGTAGGTGGCGTCCTCACTGATGACGCGCTGTGGGGCGTGGAAACATACAGTAATGGAGAATGGTAAGGCCATAGATTACAGGAGCACTGTCAGTTATAGACAGTGGATAAAGCTACAGATAACAGGAACTATTTTCTACCTCTTTTTTCCTGGTACACCATCTTCTACCCCCTCCCCCTTCTGCGTCACCATCTTCTATTCCCCTCTGGTTCGCCATCTTCTATTCCCCTCTGGTTCACCATCTTCTATCCCCCTATGGTTCACCATCTTTTACTACTGCATTGCAGTGTAAACTGCCGCATTAGATCAGCATCACAGGGTCAAAGATCAACGACACAAGGTGAAGGATCAATGACACAAGAGTCAAAGATCAACGTGACAGGATCATAGATTAACGTCAATGGGCCACAGAGTATAATGAACAATGCCACAAGGTCAAAGCTCAGCGTCACCCGGCTAAAGGTCAGAGATCAACAATACACTGTCTTAGGATCAGCGTCACATGGTCAAAGATCAACGTCACAGGGTTAACGTTACAAGTTCACGTTGAACACCTTGTAGCCTAAATAAACCTAAATATTTAGGTGATGTAAACCGTCACCCAAAAACGTATCCCCGTCTCTACAGGAAAGCAAAATATACAAGGAGAGCGCGAGCCAGGATGACTGTAGCACGGGGAGTGGATACCAAGGACAAAACAGGAGCTGGGATCGAAAAGAATCCATGTCCAAAGGGGGTAGAAATAGCCTAAGCTACTCTATCCCTTTGAGATGTATTTCTTTCTTATCACAATAAACATACTTGAACCATGTCTAACCACTTGGACCATCGGGGGATCGAACGCCGACCTGCAGGAATCGAGACCGTCGCTCTACCGAGCAGCCCAAGTACCTGACGGCGCGAACTAAATCCAAGCAGCAAGTATCAACGGGAAACTTTGTGTGCCCGTTAATTAGGGACGCAGTAAGCCCTAATCAAAGAACTTTTCCCAGCGAAATTCCAACCCTTATTTTGGCCAACTACATCGTAACCGGTGATTAGGATGGAACTTCCTTCCTCTCTTATCGTATTTACCAAATTTATTTTCTGGTGCTTTCTATAATGATCGTCCAATTCAGTTTCTTTATTATGCACCCCATACCCATCCCGTGAGCGGTGGTGTAAAGGATTATAGAGGCACATAATCGCTTCAGGAACTGAACCCTCTAGTTCGTTCAGCTAAGCAAATAACAATCTTTTGACGCTAGTTACACAATTATTAATGTTTTATATACATGTACACATACTCATACATACATGTACATATATATATACATATAAATATATACACATACACATACATATTCCCGCGGGGCCATACTTGTGCTGGAGAAAACATTTATTGTTGCTGATTTGCTCTACAAATAAATGTATCAGTATCACCTCCGCCGTAACTGTTCGGTCAGCAGGTGTGTGGGTTCTGGATGGCAGGTGTATGGGTTCTGGATGGCAGGTGTGTGGGTTCTGGATGGCAGGTGTGTGGGTTCTGGATGGCAGGTGTGTGGGTTCTGGATGGCAGGTGTATGGGTTCTGGATGGCAGGTGTGTGGGTTCTGGATGGCAGGTGTGTGGGGTTCTGGATGGCAGGTGTGAGGGGTTCTGGATGGCAGGTGTGAGGGTTCTGGATGGCAGGTGTTAGGGTTCTGGATAGCAGGTATGTGGGTTCTGGATGGCAGGTGTGGGGGTTCTGGATGGCAGGTGTTAGGGTTCTGGATAGCAGGTGTGGGTTCTGGATGGCAGGGTGTGGCAGGGTTCTGGATGGCAAGTGTGTAGGGTTCTGGATGGCAGGTGTGAGGGTTCTGGATGGCAGGTGTTAGGTGGATGAGGGTTCTGGATGGCAGGTGTGAGGGTTCTGGATGGCAGGTGGTAGCAGGTATGGGTTCTGGCAGGTATGTGGGTTCAGGTATGTGGGTTCTGGATGGCAGGTGTTAGGGTTCTGGATAGCAGGTATGTGGGTTCTGGATGGCAGGTGTGAGGGTTCTGGATGGCAGGTGTGAGGGTTCTGGATGGCAGGTGTGAGGGTTCTGGATGGCAGGTGTGAGGGTTCTGGATGGCAGGTGTGAGGGTCCTGGATGGCATGTGAGGGCTCTGGATGGGTTGCAACCCGTTCTCGCACTTTCTTACAGTCAATATTGACTTATTAAATACGTGCATGTGACATACTAAACATACTAGTTTACCTTGAAAAGCTTCATAGAAAACACCGACCTTACCTAACCTTCTTAGCATGTTAAGATAAGCATCTTATTGCTTCGTAATTACAATTATTACTTAACCTATACCTATAATAGGTTAAGTAATAATTGTAATTACGAGGCAATAAGATGCTTATCTTAACATACTAAGAAGGTTAGGTAAGGTTGGTGTTTTCTATGAAGCTTTTCAAGGTAAACTAGTATGTTTAGTATGTCACATATGCACGTATTTAATAAGTCAATATTGACTATACGAAAGTGCGAGAACGGGTTGCAACATGGCAGGTGAGGGTTCTGGATGGCAGGTGTGAGGGTTCTGGATGGCAGGTGTGAGGGTTCTGGATGGCAGGTGGGAAGGCTCTAAAGTCTGTTCCCATATACTTTGTCTTCACGCAGCCCTTCTTATGGTGACCGTGTTAATAAACAATGTTCCAACAGTCACATAGATGTCACACGTTTAGTGACATTATTGAGAGAAAGCAACATCAATCGCCTAATTAAGGTAAATATGTATATATAGTCAATAATTATCATTTATTTTATTAACTGTAGATACCATTAGTTCTACTGTTCCTATAGTTTGACATTGCTAGACCTACTGCTGCTATAATTAGTCTGTTCTCATTACTACTGTACGCTGTGTTTACCTGTATCACCACATTGTCAGCTTAATGTTTTTTTCAGTTTAGGTCTGAAACTGCGTTTGTTTTACACCTAAACCTGATGTGCACCTGTTCAGTCCAGACTGAATTGTAAATATGTGTATCGGTTGATGTGAATAAGGTCCTCTCTTGTAATCCATTATAATCGTACAATATATAATATATAGGTATATAAATTAAGATAATATATAAGGCTTACCTTAGTGAAGATTGTAGCGTGCGTGGTTACCGATAATAGCACCACCACCACTAGCGTGATTATCCTCATTGTGTAGGCTTCTTGAACACTAAAAAGCCTTTTTTTTTAGGGGGGAGGGGGATTTGATAGCTTTCGTGTATAATATCTTTATTATGGGGGTGAAGAGGTCGGTGGAATATGCCTGGTTACCAGACCTTACTGGTCCCCCGTCCTCTGCAACGGCTTGGTGACTTCTCCCGGGAGTCGCTTCACACAGGCTCTTATTTACTCCTGGAGGAGTGGGTGGGTAGGGGAGGGAGGGGGCTGCCGGCGCTGGCAGAGGAACTCAACTAACCACTCCCCCCACAAGCTGCATGTTTGGTCTATCTTTGGATAGTTATTAAGGTTATAGGAATAGTTTCCTGATAAGATTGCAGGTGTATTTCAGACCAAGATTATGTTCATTGTTAAAGTAAACTATAGTTATTCACAGAGGTGTAGGGTGTGGGGAGGGGGGTGTGGGGGATTAAACCTCTGTGTATGTTCAAGTTCAAGTATGTTTATTGAGATAAGCAATAAATACATCTCAAAGGGATAGAGTAGCTTAGGCTATTTCTACCCCCCTCTACTTCAAGTCCCTCAAGGGGCGCACAAATGCTGTGAGTACAAATACACAAATTACAATACAAGAATCTATGTCCTTGACTTACAGTTCATTGTATCCTTTGAAGACGAAATAAGTGTTAGTTTACCGTTGAAGTCAAGATGTCAACCTCTATAGAACTAATAAGACCAGTACAATAACCTAACGACCGACCAGCACGTGTACTTAGTCCTATATATTGGTTCAGAACTAAAAACAACCTCAGTATATACAAGACAGTATATCCTGCCACTGAGGGTGGCAGGAAAAGGCACAGGTGAACTGACAGGGTTTAATGAAGGCAGCGGCACCAGGAAATGGGGATGAGGAAGGCCAGAAATGGCAGTGTGCACTGGATCAAGGACACCAGAGGGTGAATCTAGGCCCATGAAAATTTCCATAGCAAAGTTGGCCACCGAGATGAGAGATGTAGGGACAGAGCCGGAGGTGGAAACTGGGGGGGGGGGGATGTACTGAAGCCTTCTTATTCACTGGAAAGGAAGAGGATCCAGGTTTGTTACCGAGACACAGACATTCTAGTAGCAATGTACTGAGCGACAGCCTCTATCTCGGGTGGTGCGAGAGAACCAGAGCAGACGACACAGACAGTTGGAAGGAGGATGGACATCAGCCTGGATGCAAGTCTAAAAGACAAATGGAAGGGCCAAGATGATTGGCTCAAAGAATGACAGTTGCCAGGGATAGAGGAGAGGTGATGAGCAGAACACGGGGAATGGTGGAAACTGGTTGGTGATCCATGAGGAACACCCTCCACGTCAGATTGCAGAGGAGTGGAAGAACGGGAGCTCATGGTGATGTCAAGGTTTAAGGCTTGGAAACAGTTGTGGAACTGAGAAAGGGAAAAAGGTTTGAAAAGAGAAGTACAATGCAATGCATGGGCAAAAGTCATGTCAGTGAAAGAGGTAAGACAATAAAACCTGGCATTCTGCCTCAGGGAAAGTTATACAATAATGTTTTAAGTTGAGGATGACTTGTTCAAATTTATAGTGCATGCATGTGCAAGAGAAGGCAGGGCAGGGCTCACTACAGTTACAGCAAGCTTGGAGAAAAGAAATGATCAGAATGACCAGTTTTCCCTCACACGTGGAGCAAAGGGACATCTCACTACTGCACTTAAGGCAAATGTCCAAATTTCCAACACCTACTGCAGAGAAGGAATGTATTCCTGAACAGATCTGACACTGGGGAAGTATTACGCTATACTGAAGTCTCCTACCATCAAAAGTGATCTTAACCACTCAAAGGTACTGAAGACTACGACCAAGAGGGAATCTAGGGAAAGTATCATCTGGAGGATAACCTTGGGACTTTAGAATATATTTATTATAATCATTGGAGTGAGGTCCTCATCTCTAGTTGTAACATGGTGCAGGAGAATAACTGTACCAGTGCTGCAATTTAACTGAATATTTTTGGAAACCCATTCTTTAAAAGGGGCCACAACTACACGTGTGTAGGTGGAATATAAAGTAACGTAGGTATCTACAGAGTAAACCATGTGCTTGTGTATATATATAAATCAGGTCAAGTATATTCATCGAGACAACGATCACAATAATTGGGTCCCGTTAGCAGGAGCAAACAAATCCTGGAGCAGAGTTTGAAGAAATCATGCATGTTTGAGTGCAATTACAGGATGGTGATCCCACATTAAGGAGAGGGTAAAAGGCACATAAAAGCCGGAGCCACTTCAGGTGATGAGGTAGTCACCACTAGGGGCTTGGGGCTCAACCCTGCCACAGACATGGGATGGAAACAGAGGGTCAGTTGTAGTAGTCAAACAAAACCTGGTCTGGAACTACAGCAGTCAGAGCTATGGAGCCAGATCTTCCAACAATGACACTAGAGGCCTGGAACCCACCTCAAGTTTAAGAAGATATGGTCAGAATCTAATGTGCAAATAATCCGATACAGACTTTTGCTACCCAGCACCCCAACCCACCGTGGAGCCCAAGGGAAGACACACGAACACATCGGGCAAGTAACCTCAGAGGTAACGAACAGTACATGTGGGTCATCATTGAAGGACTGATAGGGATACTGAAAATAGGTGCAGAGAGTCAGAATTCGGATAAAAAATCACGCTCAGGAGTAATATTTATGACATTTCAGACATTTTGAAAACTGCAGGGGGGTTTGGGCAAAATATGACCCATCGCCGTTTACAGTAATTGGCATATTTTCGGTATGAAACGTCGTAATTTGAAACTGAAAATAGGTGCAGAGAGTCAGAATTCGGATAAAAAATCACGCTCAGGAGTCAAATTTCCGACATTTCAGACATTTTGAAAACTGCAGGGGGGTTTGGGCAAAATATGACCCATCGCCGTTTTCAGTAATTGGCATATTTTCGGTATAAAAAGTCGTAATTTGAAACTGAAAATAGGTGCAGAAAGTCAGAATTCGGATAAAAAATCACGCTCAGGAGTCAAATTTCCGACATTTCAGACATTTTGAAAACTGCAGGGGGGTTTGGGCAAAATATGACCCATCGCCGTTTACAGTAATTGGCATATTTTCGGTAAGAAACGTCGTAATTTGAAACTGAAAATAGGTGCAGAGAGTCAGAATTCGGCTCAAAAATCACGCTCAGGAGTCAAATTTCCGACATTTCAGACATTTTAAAAACTGCAGGGGGGTTTGGGCAAAATATGACCCATCGCCGTTTTCAGTAATTGGCATATTTTCGGTATGAAACGTCGTAATTTGAAACTGAAAATAGGTGCAGAGAGTCAGAATTCGGCTCAAAAATCACGCTCAGGAGTCAAATTTCCGACATTTCAGACATTTTGAAAACTGCAGGGGGGTTTGGGCAAAATATGACCCATCGCCGTTTTCAGTAATTGGCATATTTTCGGTATGAAACGTCGTAATTTGAAACTGAAAATAGGTGCAGAGAGTCAGAATTCGGCTCAAAAATCACGCTCAGGAGTCAAATTTCCGACATTTCAGACATTTTAAAAACTGCAGGGGGGTTTGGGCAAAATATGACCCATCGCCGTTTTCAGTAATTGGCATATTTTCGGTATAAAAAGTCGTAATTTGAAACTGAAAATAGGTGCAGAGAGTCAGAATTCGGATAAAAAATCACGCTCAGGAGTCAAATTTCCGACATTTCAGACATTTTGAAAACTGCAGGGGGGTTTGGGCAAAATATGACCCATCGCCGTTTTCAGTAATTGGCATATTTTCGGTATGAAACGTCGTAATTTGAAACTGAAAATAGGTGCAGAGAGTCAGAATTCGGCTCAAAAATCACGCTCAGGAGTCAAATTTCCGACATTTCAGACATTTTAAAAACTGCAGGGGGGTTTGGGCAAAATATGACCCATCGCCGTTTTCAGTAATTGGCATATTTTCGGTATAAAAAGTCGTAATTTGAAACTGAAAATAGGTGCAGAGAGTCAGAATTCGGCTCAAAAATCACGCTCAGGAGTCAAATTTCCGACATTTCAGACATTTTGAAAACTGCAGGGGGGTTTGGGCAAAATATGACCCATCGCCGTTTTCAGTAATTGGCATATTTTCGGTATAAAAAGTCGTAATTTGAAACTGAAAATAGGTGCAGAGAGTCAGAATTCGGATAAAAAATCACGCTCAGGAGTCAAATTTCCGACATTTCAGACATTTTGAAAACTGCAGGGGGGTTTGGGCAAAATATGACCCATCGCCGTTTTCAGTAATTGGCATATTTTCGGTATGAAACGTCGTAATTTGAAACTGAAAATAGGTGCAGAGAGTCAGAATTCGGATAAAAAATCACGCTCAGGAGTCAAATTTCCGACATTTCAGACATTTTGAAAACTGCAGGGGGGTTTGGGCAAAATATGACCCATCGCCGTTTACAGTAATTGGCATATTTTCGGTATGAAACGTCGTAATTTGAAACTGAAAATAGGTGCAGAGAGTCAGAATTCGGCTCAAAAATCACGCTCAGGAGTCAAATTTCCGACATTTCAGACATTTTAAAAACTGCAGGGGGGTTTGGGCAAAATATGACCCATCGCCGTTTTCAGTAATTGGCATATTTTCGGTATGAAACGTCGTAATTTGAAACTGAAAATAGGTGCAGAGAGTCAGAATTCGGCTCAAAAATCACGCTCAGGAGTCAAATTTCCGACATTTCAGACATTTTGAAAACTGCAGAGGGGTTTGGGCAAAATATGACCCATCGCCGTTTACAGTAATTGGCATATTTTCGGTATAAAAAGTCGTAATTTGAAACTGAAAATAGGTGCAGAGAGTCAGAATTCGGCTCAAAAATCACGCTCAGGAGTCAAATTTCCGACATTTCAGACATTTTGAAAACTGCAGGGGGGTTTTGGCAAAATATGACCCATCGCCGTTTTCAGTAATTGGCATATTTTCGGTATAAAAAGTCGTAATTTGAAACTGAAAATAGGTGCAGAGAGTCAGAATTCGGATAAAAAATCACGCTCAGGAGTCAAATTTCCGACATTTCAGACATTTTGAAAACTGCAGGGGGGTTTGGGCAAAATATGACCCATCGCCGTTTTCAGTAATTGGCATATTTTCGGTATGAAACGTCGTAATTTGAAACTGAAAATAGGTGCAGAGAGTCAGAATTCGGATAAAAAATCACGCTCAGGAGTCAAATTTCCGACATTTCAGACATTTTGAAAACTGCAGGGGGGTTTGGGCAAAATATGACCCATCGCCGTTTACAGTAATTGGCATATTTTCGGTATGAAACGTCGTAATTTGAAACTGAAAATAGGTGCAGAGTCAGAATTCGGATAAAAAATCACGCTCAGGAGTCAAATTTCCGACATTTCAGACATTTTGAAAACTGCAGGGGGGTTTGGGCAAAATATGACCCATCGCCGTTTACAGTAATTGGCATATTTTCGGTATGAAACGTCGTAATTTGAAACTGAAAATAGGTGCAGAGAGTCAGAATTCGGCTCAAAAATCACGCTCAGGAGTCAAATTTCCGACATTTCAGACATTTTAAAAACTGCAGGGGGGTTTGGGCAAAATATGACCCATCGCCGTTTTCAGTAATTGGCATATTTTCGGTATGAAACGTCGTAATTTGAAACTGAAAATAGGTGCAGAGAGTCAGAATTCGGATAAAAAATCACGCTCAGGAGTCAAATTTCAGACATTTCAGACATTTTAAAAACTGCAGGGGGGTTTGGGCAAAATATGACCCATCGCCGTTTTCAGTAATTGGCATATTTTCGGTATGAAAAGTCGTAATTTGAAACTGAAAATAGGCGCAGAGAGTCAGAATTCGGCTCAAAAATCACGCTCAGGAGTCAAATTTCCGACATTTCAGACATTTTAAAAACTGCAGGGGGGTTTGGGCAAAATATGACCCATCGCCGTTTTCAGTAATTGGCATATTTTCGGTATGAAACGTCGTAATTTGAAACTGAAAATAGGTGCAGAGAGTCAGAATTCGGATAAAAAATCACGCTCAGGAGTCAAATTTCCGACATTTCAGACATTTTGAAAACTGCAGGGGGGTTTGGGCAAAATATGACCCATCGCCGTTTACAGTAATTGGCATATTTTCGGTATGAAAGGTCGTAATTTGAAACTGAAAATAGGTGCAGAGAGTCAGAATTCGGTTCAAAAATCACGCTCAGGAGTCAAATTTCCGACATTTCAGACATTTTGAAAACTGCAGGGGGGTTTGGGCAAAATATGACCCATCGCCGTTTTCAGTAATTGGCATATTTTCGGTATGAAACGTCGTAATTTGAAACTGAAAATAGGTGCAGAGAGTCAGAATTCGGCTCAAAAATCACGCTCAGGAGTCAAATTTCCGACATTTCAGACATTTTGAAAACTGCAGGGGGGTTTGGGCAAAATATGACCCATCGCCGTTTTCAGTAATTGGCATATTTTCGGTATGAAACGTCGTAATTTGAAACTGAAAATAGGTGCAGAGAGTCAGAATTCGGCTCAAAAATCACGCTCAGGAGTCAAATTTCCGACATTTCAGACATTTTAAAAACTGCAGGGGGGTTTGGGCAAAATATGACCCATCGCCGTTTTCAGTAATTGGCATATTTTCGGTATAAAAAGTCGTAATTTGAAACTGAAAATAGGTGCAGAGAGTCAGAATTCGGCTCAAAAATCACGCTCAGGAGTCAAATTTCCGACATTTCAGACATTTTGAAAACTGCAGGGGGGTTTGGGCAAAATATGACCCATCGCCGTTTTCAGTAATTGGCATATTTTCGGTATAAAAAGTCGTAATTTGAAACTGAAAATAGGTGCAGAGAGTCAGAATTCGGATAAAAAATCACGCTCAGGAGTCAAATTTCCGACATTTCAGACATTTTAAAAACTGCAGGGGGGTTTGGGCAAAATATGACCCATCGCCGTTTTCAGTAATTGGCATATTTTCGGTATGAAACGTCGTAATTTGAAACTGAAAATAGGTGCAGAGAGTCAGAATTCGGATAAAAAATCACGCTCAGGAGTCAAATTTCCGACATTTCAAAAACTGCAGGGGGGTTTGGGCAAAATATGACCCATCGCTGTTTTCAGTAATTGGCATATTTTCGGTATGAAACGTCGTAATTTGAAACTGAAAATAGGGGCAGAGTCAGAATTCGGCTCAAAAATCACGCTCAGGAGTCAAATTTCCGACATTTCAGACATTTTAAAAACTGCAGGGGGGTTTGGGCAAAATATGACCCATCGCCGTTTTCAGTAATTGGCATATTTTCGGTATGAAACGTCGTAATTTGAAACTGAAAATAGGTGCAGAGAGTCAGAATTCGGCTGAAAAATCACGCTCAGGAGTCAAATTTCCGACATTTTAAAAACTGCAGGGGGGTTTGGGCAAAATATGATCCATCGCCGTTTTCAGTAATTGGCATATTTTCGGTATGAAACGTCGTAATTTGAAACTGAAAATAGGTGCAGAGAGTCAGAATTCGGATAAAAAATCACGCTCAGGAGTCAAATTTCTGACATTTCAGACATTTTGAAAACTGCAGGGGGGTTTGGGCAAAATATGACCCATCGCCGTTTACAGTAATTGGCATATTTTCGGTATGAAACGTCGTAATTTGAAACTGGAAATAGGTGCAGAGTCAGAATTCGGATAAAAAATCACGCTCAGGAGTCAAATTTCCGACATTTCAGACATTTTGAAAACTGCAGGGGGGTTTGGGCAAAATATGACCCATCGCCGTTTTCAGTAATTGGCATATTTTCGGTATAAAAAGTCGTAATTTGAAACTGAAAATAGGTGCAGAGAGTCAGAATTCGGCTCAAAAATCACGCTCAGGAGTCAAATTTCCGACATTTCAGACATTTTGAAAACTGCAGAGGGGTTTGGGCAAAATATGACCCATCGCCGTTTTCAGTAATTGGCATATTTTCGGTATAAAAAGTCGTAATTTGAAACTGAAAATAGGTGCAGAGAGTCAGAATTCGGCTCAAAAATCACGCTCAGGAGTCAAATTTCCGACATTTCAGACATTTTGAAAACTGCAGGGGGGTTTGGGCAAAATATGACCCATCGCCGTTTTCAGTAATTGGCATATTTTCGGTATAAAAAGTCGTAATTTGAAACTGAAAATAGGTGCAGAGAGTCAGAATTCGGATCAAAAATCACGCTCAGGAGTCAAATTTCCGACATTTCAGACATTTTGAAAACTGCAGGGGGGTTTGGGCAAAATTTGACCCATCGCCGTTTTCAGTAATTGGCATATTTTCGGTATGAAACGTCGTAATTTGAAACTGAAAATAGGTGCAGAGTCAGAATTCGGATACAAAATCACGCTCAGGAGTCTTCTGGACCCAAATTCTGGCTCTCTGCACCTATTCGCGGTTTGAAATTCCGACTTTTTATAACAAAAATCTGCCAATTACTGAAAGCGGCGGTGGGTCACACTTTGTCCAAACCCCCCTGCTGTTTTCAAAATATCCCAAACATCCCATATTCGATACCTGAGCCATATTTTGGACCCAAATTCTGGCTTTCTGCACCTATTCGCAGTTTGAAATTCCAACTTTTTATAGAAAAAATCTGCCAATTACTGAAAGCGGCGGTGGGTCACATTTTGCCCAAACCACACTGCAGTTTTCACAATATCCAAAACATCCCAAATTCGATACCCGAGCCATATTTTGGACCCAAATTTTAGCTCTCTGCACCTATTCGCAGTTTGAAATTCCTACTTTTTATACCAAAATTATGCCAATTACTGAAAGTGGCGGTGGGTCACATTTTGCCCAAACCCCCCTGCAGTTTTCACAATATCCCAAACATCCCAAATTCGATACCTGAGCCATATTTTGGACCAAAATTCTGGCTTTCCACACCTATTCGCAGTTTGAAATTCCGACGTTTTATACCAAAAATCTGCCAATTACTGAAAGTGGCGGTGGGTCACATTTTGGGTCATCAACCCCACAATGTCTACATGACCAGACATCTAACTAGGCACTAACTAGACAACCTGTTTATTCAGGTGGGCTGCACCAAACTTATTTTACCTGCGTACCCCCTACCAAAGATGGGTGTTGCTAACCCATAATGCTCAACTTCTAGGTGAAGGAACAAAGAAATGTGAGTCTCCATGCACAGTTAACAGATGAGAGGTGCAATTTGCTTCAACCCAATAGCAGCAGGAAGGAGAGGAAAACAGGAGCCACATCCCTCTGGGTAGTGCACAAGAGCCCCTTCACCACATTAAGGAACCACCCATTGAGGGAGGGAGGGGGGGGGGGGATCAAAAACGGGTAATTATCAGGTGACAAGAGAGGCTATGTAGCACTATCGTACTCAATGGATAGCAAAAATGCATTATGGAAATAAATTCATTGGACTGCAGTCATTCACTTTACTGTTTATGCATTATCAACAGAAAGCACAAAGCCAATATGGCTATATAGAACTACATATCAAGATTCAAAGTTTCCAAGTATTTATGCTAATACAGGCACACAACAATTCAAGTTAATGGTAAGAGGTGCTCAAACGTAAAAAAACACAAATGGAATATAATGCTTTACTAACATGCCTAAATATATATATATATATATATATTTGTAGACTTAAAAAAACAGTAATCCTGTAATACCATTACCGTTAAATAAGCAAGAAAATTCACAAAACCAAATACAAAAATAGAAACATTAGGAAAAAATACCAACAATATAACTTCTTTTAAACTCTTACCTTAAAGTTACATGGGTAACAACCTTGTATCAACATGAAGTTCACACACCATGGAAACTCTTTCCAGTCTTAAAATACAATGAACACTTAACTGGAAGAAAACAATGCAAAATTGCACACATTGTCATGATTACTTTGAAAGTTGCAATAATATCAAGTTGTCATGGAAACAAAAAACCTCTCTAGCACTGACAAAGCAAGAAGGGCCTTAAATAATGCTAAGCTTAAAAACACTTGGTCTGCAAAGTTACAAAACTTTATAGATGTTAAAATGACAAGCAAGAGCTGGAATGGGTGAACAGTAATTATACAACAGTTGCTAACAGAATTTGTGAGCGTTGTTGTATAACGTGCAATAGTGTACAAATTCCCGAGACATTGATATATGCAAACTGCCAAACATGACGCTAAACTCAAAATTTCTCAAAGCTATACTAAATGGTACAGTTAATAGTGCTAAACCAAATAACGTCTCACCCAAGGAATGAAATTAGTGCAACATTGGTAACTTAAGAAATCTTCCAAGTAATGGAATGTGTAGCAAAATCTTCTGGACGAAACAAATTCACAGCAACATTGGAATGTATGAATATACAGGAGAAAAAAAATCACGTGTGACATTCAACTATAGTGAGGCAGAAGAAAATGCCAACGATCACAAAATATTTCAATATTGTGGGACACACAAGTGCCTTATTTCCAGCAAATAAATCACCACCTTCAATACCATGCTTCTCCAAACTGTACACCACTAACTATATGATGAATATGCAAGGTCACAACATTCTCTCAGGGTTTCCTTCAATCCTGACCAACAGAACTAAGGAATGAACTTGCAACACATGCCCATGACAACAGGTGTACTTATCAAATCTCATTAAAAATATTACAGGGACAGAAATAATGAAGTTCAAAAACTGAAGTAAACAGGCTAAGGCTCTGTCCAAATCTTAAAAACTTTCCATGAACCATTACATAAACGTGAGTAGTAATATAACAACACTATCGCTCTCCCCCGACTCTTAACAAGTCCATAATATTTCTGAGTCAAAGTGATGGACTCTTGCTTGCGTCCATTTTAAAATATTTGTTAAAAATTTTAATTTTATCCGATCGATCTGGCAGTGGTTTCAAAATGAGCGCCTTTAGATTGCGCACAATTCGATACAATAATGACGATGTAGCCTGACAATTGAGGTCAGAACACTTAATTATAAATACTTTTGTAGTCCAAATTTTAAAATTTTTAAAATTCCATTTATTGTTCTATTATGGGACTAGTTTTAAAATACAAGCCTTTATATTGCGAACAATTTGATACCAAAATGAAAGACGTAACACGAAAATTGATGTTATCAAATTTAACGAGTACACACATTAGGTTGCGGCGTGCCAATTGGCGCTCGTTCACGGGTAACGGTTGGCCAAATTTAGGCTTTGCTGTGGGGAGTCACGCCGAGCTCTTGGACCTTGTATGCATACACCCCTGTAGGGATTTCAATTGCGAACATATTGATATCAAAATGAATGATGTATTATGAGAATTAAGGCGAGAAAACAAACTAGTACATATTTTGGTGTCGCCACATGCTCGCCTGCACCGCCGGGAGCATGGCATCAGAGTGCAGAGTGCACGCTCCGCACGCGTTAGTGTTAAGGAGTTTAAGGCTACTCATTGACAATACAGAAAGTACACTGTCAACCCATCATTTAAGCATTATAATGTACAATGGCAAGTATCAAAAGAAGGCACCAAACTGGGAAGGCTAAGCACCTTCAAAGTCGCAAGATATTGAAAAGGATAACAATGGCTAAACTAGTAATTATACAGTTAATCCCCAGAGCTGAAGTTTAGAATAACTCCGTTCACTAGCATGGTGAACCAATGACAATATCAGCAATAAAATACCATACCGAAGATGCTTCCTGATTTTTACAGGAAATTTTACACCGCTAAAAACTAAGTTTTGTGCATGTATAAATACAAAATAAATGTAAATTTTTTTGTTAAATAAATTTAAATTATACAAAATACATAAAATTTAATGAATCTTTAGTATTTCTTATATATAAACTTCATATAAAATATATTTGTATATTTAGCATCAAAGCACTTTTCAATGGCACAAGACAGGTATTTGTCAGAGAATTAGCATTCTAAATGACAAAACATCAGGGCATACATCAAGGATACTGATCTTACAGACATGAACATTTTTCACAACTTTGAATAAATCGATGTTAACAAAAGTCAATGCTTAATACCCATCATCACAGTATCACAAGCTGTAATTGTCATCTTTAATGTTTTATTGTCACTGATAAACATTAATGTAATGAACATTAAACCTCACATTTTGTATTTGTAGTTCATTAAAATTCTGTCGATAGATACGTTGGAAGACGAAGGTAGAAAAATGTGAAGAAAACCAAGATCTAAGTTTAAGATTGGGGGCCTAAGAGCCATTTGACTGTTGCTGCAAATAGCAGCTAGTTTACTGTACAATCTATATTTTGTGAACAACAGTACCACCAGTAATCTACACTCCATAAAAATTAGTCAACCCATTTAATTCAAATTGAGTGAGTACGACCAAACACAGGTAATGCAATGATCTAAAATTTACACGAATCTTCAATGTCCACCTGTGAAGCAAAGGAATTAATAATCCATTGTTTCTTAACATCTGAGGAGACCAAACAGTTAAGTGTTTACTATTTCCAATTTGAATGTTTTTTTTTCATACCTATGTTCTCCAAACTTCAGCTCCTACACATTTATAATATTCCTACCTGAAGCAAATGATTGTGAATCACAGGAATCTCCGTGAATGACTTAAGACAGCAGTGAGGCAGTTGAGCTGGATTTCTGAACAAAGCAAATTGGTACTTTCTATCTTGAACTCTTGTTTAGCACACTTCCACCTTGTTGAATCTTGCTGATGCAATCATCAAATCAATGAGAATAGAATTATTAAGCCATAAATCCTTACATAGCTACATCAGAAAAATTACTTTAATCAAGGAAACTTTCAATGAAAGCTTTAAAATCTCTTCATACAATAATTAATTTTATGAAATTTATATATTTCCTTTTTATTTACCAAAAACTATAGTGGATAACCTTGATGCATTAGGCAATCAGTCGGCAATATTTATAAAATAAATCTTTTTGAATGTCCTTAATAACAGCCTTCAAAAGATCACTATACCTATGAGTTGCCGAGTCCCTAGATTACTAAACGCATGTTCTGCCAATGGAGGAAATAGCCGAGCCTCGCAGTGGTTAGCCTCTGAACCTGGAGCCTCATCGGTTGCGGCTGAAAAATTAAGAAGTCAAATTCTCATACAATAAATTGTAAACTATGTTAAACTGAATCCACTCCATCCTGTCATCAACCAACATCTCCATAAACTTGGACAAGCTAAAGCACACCAAACACACACATGTAGAAGCAACTTACACCATATAAATTAGCAAATAATTGCCAAATTTGAAGGTAATATAAGCCTTTATCTAAAACGTTTGCAAGGTGTTTTGAGTCAATAAAATGAAAAGAATGCAAGAGTGAGGTTATAGGTAAGCAGACTAATAAGCTTCAGTAACAAATTAAAAAAAAAGTTTCATCGTTTGTAATTAAAATCTTTATATTTAGGTGTAAGTAATTGATTTTTTGATATTCATCAATTTTATTCTTAAGTCAATATAGTGTAGGTAGTGAGGACAATTTCACAAATATTAGTGCATTAAATTCTGGAAAAAGTTCACAGTAACATGACATACAAAAAGAATTTCACAATTTCAATCTACACCCTCCAATCTTCAAACATACTTTGAATTTTAGTATAGAGGAAAGATGGAATTTCTTCATTCTAATTATGAGGAATCATTAATTTATAATTACATCTTTATAATGTTGCTGAAAGGTCTGGCCTTAAACATTTGCCCTTTCCTAACTTGCCAGTGTAATTAGCTTTTAAATCTAAATTTAAAATACATTGTAATGATTAACACTTATAAGTAGGATTCTACAAAATCCATTTACGGAAGTCTAATTATTTCAGCCGAGCCTGTTCTTTTAACAAATTCTGTTTTATGCTTACGCTTGATTCTTTTTCATATTCCGTAGCAGAAATGAATTCCACATATAGTTGGAAAACATAAATATCCACTTGTTACCAAAGTTCTCTGCCATATACACCTGAAAAAATAAATATATATACTCAAAAAAAAAACTTGTGGAATTTGGAAAATCTCAAGAAGACATGAATGACAATACACTGTACACTCAAGATTTGACTTAATGGTCTCACTAATCAATCAGTTTAAAGATAATACTGTATACTATAATGCAAACTTACTAGGATGCCATGAGCCCAGTATCCGCTAGTACGGCGAGCATAACCTAGTGTGTTTATGGCATTAGAAACGAAGGTCGGTGCATCTGGGACAAACAGACCTGTAAGAAAGGCTATGTTTAGGAAGACAAAAATTACACCTATGCAAGTTATTAGATTAATATATTACAGGAAAAAAAAAAAAAGATCTTGTGACAAGTAGAATTATTAACTCTTAAATGGCGCAGCCTTAGGGGGTCAAGAAGCGAAAAGTATTCAAATTATGTAAATTACTCAACAGTGTTAAATCTCCAACTTATTGGCTTCAGGGTCGTGAAACATCAAAATATTTTCATAAATTGATTTTAGAGGCATTTAAAAAGAATGTTTTGTTAAGGAGAACAAAAAAAAACATGTTAAGTCATGTTTTTCAAGGTATGTTGGTGATCAAGTGAAAGTTGGAGCATTTGCAGAGTTGGTTATGCACAAAAAATTGGAACGTATTGGTGCAAGTTTTAAAAACTGACGTTATGTCCAACTGCATAAGCACGTTTTGTGCCAATTAAGGGTTTGGGCTTGCACACTCGTGCACCCCCACAAGCACGCACCCACACACGTGCACCCCCACAAGCATGCACCCCCACACGCGTGCACCCCCACCCCATCCCCTTATTTACTACACAAATTTTTACTAAAAACTGCCAATTCTAATACATGAATTTTATGTCATTTCCCTAAATCTCATCTACAATTTAAAATTTAATAACTATGTATTGTTAAGACAATGGCTGTTTATGAATGTCTCTTACAATTGTTCAATTATTTTCATATCTTTTCAACACTCCATCAATGTTACCGTATCATTTAAGTATTGTCCCTTAAGTCATGCTCTCCTAAAAGCTATACAGTTTAGCATTGCTAAAATTTTTGGACTATACATGTTAGCATACTTGTTTAGTATTGTCTACCTCATCAAACTTTGAAACAACCTATTATTCAAAGTTATGCCCAAAACCCTTTGCATATATTAAACCCCTGTATGTATACCCCTCTTATGTACATTTTTATATTATTATTGTAACTTTTGATATCTATTTATTGCTAGGCAAACTGGCATCAAGTGAAATGAAACCATGTCCTGGCTGGGAATTGAACCTGATGACTTAGTCCACCATGGACAGTTAAAAGATGCACTTTGATATGCTATCCATTGTAAACTTCAATTGCGATTTACACTGTCCTACAGTCCTGGACAAGATAATAGAAGAACGCCAAAATCTACATCTGGAGGACAGAAATATGGTTTCACACAAGTTTATATAAAAATAATTACTAGTACTGTACATGAACATTTCCAAGAAGTAGACCTTACCATACTTAAATGGAGCACATCATAATATTGATCGGCCAAACCTTGACCAGCCAGCCTGGTTAAGAGAAGTCATCACAATGCAGGCGATGAGTCACAATAACGTGGCTAAAGTATGTTGACCAGACCACACACTAGAAGGTGAAGGGACGACAACGTTTCGGTCCATCCTGGACCATTCAAGTCGATCCACTTGAGAATGGTCCAGGACGGACCGAAACGTTGTCGTCCCTTCACCTAGTGTGTGGTCTGGTCAACAAGTCATCACAACATTTATTCCCAAAAACAAACCTCTAGGTAAGGTAACCCCCTTAAAAAGCATAGCTACCCTCAACAGGGAAAGACCACTACCACCTCACTGCTGCCAAGTATATAAACAATACAAGGCATGCCATCTAAATATTCACTAAACAAAAACATCTCAACTCACTGGGTTTGTGGATGTTGTCTAAAAATTTGGTCATGTTGGTCGAGACATACGAGGGCAAGATGGTCTGAACAGTGATGCCTGACCCACGATATTCCCATTCTAAAGAATGGGAGAAGAAATCCACAAAAGTCTGAAATGTGTATTAGAATAAATTTAAAATCATTCATAAAAATACTAAAACATTTTATTAACATTCAGCTTTTATCAAAGTCAAGAGAGAAGAGTAAATACGAATTGTAAGGGAATAAATCTGAACATTGAATGTTAGGGAAAAAATATGGAATTTAATATTTATTTCATCCAGTCTTGTACTTATTTGGCAATCATGCCATAAATAGTTATTAAACAAGTTACTCTTGCTGAAAACATTCAGCAAGAGTTGCATTTCTTGCTGAAAGTTACTGTATCAAGGGAGAAATTTGGATCCAAGTGTTAAAAATCAACATGAAATTTTACTTTACAATTCATTCCTCATTATGATGATTAATGCCCATTTGAAGATCAAAACTATCTTACCACCACTATCAACGGCAAGTCAAATCGACCTGCATGATATTGATCCATAAACTTAGGCAATTTAACAGCATCAAAAGGACAATTGGTTACTTTAAAGTAATTTAACAATACATAAATAATCAACAAGTAAAGCTTTAACTAACGGGGGAAATGAACAAAAAATCAAATTGTTACACGGAGGTTATTGCTGCTTTATCTTAAATACCAAAATCTTAGAACAGGACTAAGTTAACCTACCAAACATGCAATACAATGACAAGTACTGTACAATAGTGTTTTCATACCTTAGTAGCTGCATATATTCCCATGAGGGGGATGGGGTACAGCCCAGCAATGGAAGCTACATTGATTATTGCTCCCTTGCCTCTCAACAGCATCCCAGGGAGGACAAGCTTCGTCATGGCTGGTACCGATGCCACATTCACGTTGACATGGCTCCAAATATCCTTTTCGGATGCAAGTTCAAACTCCATTGGATGGTGTAACATGACTCCAACATTATTCACTAAAAAAAATTTAATTGTTAAGTATTAAGGCTATTAGTTATCTGTATATTTGTGATAATGGGAAGGAAGGGGAGGGGTGGGGTACAGGTGGTCAAGCACACTGGGTGGATGGAGGTAAAGTCATATCATAATTACATATTTAAAAAGAATTCTCTATGATCCAATATATTAACATTTAACTTCTATTGAACAGTGGAAGACTGCATTCTGATCATTTTCTGCAAGTAGAAATTAATATGATACCCAGTAATTCTGTCGAGGATAAAGAAGGAACCTGGTTGATGGGGTTCTGGGAGTTGTTCTACTCCCCAAGCCCGACCCAAGGCCAAGCTCAACTTGCGAGAGTTTGGTCCACTAGGCTGTTGCTTGGAGCAGCCCGCAGGACCACATACCCACCACAGCCCGGCACTCCTTTGAGAAAACACTAGTTTCCTCTTGAAGTTGTCCACGGTTGTTCCGGCAATATTTCTTATGCTCGCTGGGAGGGTGTTGAACAACCGTGGACCTCTGATGTTTATACAGTGTTCTCTGATTGTGCCAATGGCACCCCTGCTCTTCACTGGTTCTATTCTGCATTTTCTTCCATATCGTTCACTCCAGTACGTTGTTATTTTACTGTGTAGATTTGGTACTTGGTCCTCCAGTATCTTCCACGTGTATATTATTTGATATCTCTCTCGTCTTCTTTCTAGTGAGTACATTTGGAGGGCTTTGAAACTATCTCAATAATTTAGGTGCTTTATCGCGTCTATGCGTGCCGTATATGTTCTATTCCCTCTATTTCAGCAATCTCCTGCTCTGAAGGTGGGAGTGAGTACTGAGCAGTACTCAAGACGGGACAACATAAGTGAATTAACTTTAAGAGTACAACCATTGTGATGGGATCCCTGGATTTGAAAGTCCTCGCAATCCATCCGATCATTTTTCTGGCTGACGCAATATTTTCTTGGTTATGCTCCCTAAACTTTAGGTCATCAGACATTATTCCCAAATCCTTTACATGCTGTTTTCCTATGGGTATATTTGATTGTTTTGTACCCTGTATTATGTTGAAGATCCTCATTTTTGCCGTACCTGAGTACCTGGAATTTACCACTGTTAAACATGTTATTTTCTGATGCCCAGTCAAAAACTTTATTAATATCAGCTTGAAGTTTGTCCATTGTCTTCAGCCGAGGTAATTTTCATACTGATTTTTGTGTCATCTGCGAAGTATGATACAAAGTTGACACTTGTATTTTTGTCTATATCTGATATGAGAATAAGGAAAAGCAGCGGTGCAAGGACTGTACCCTGAGGTATAGAGCTTTTAACTGGCATTTTCCGATTTCCCCTTCCCACCATATTTTTTAAAGTTTTATTGTACCCCAAGAATTAAAAGTAACCTTGATGACCAAACCACACATCAGAAAATGGAGACATGACAACATTTTTATCCATCTTGGACCATTATTAAGTTACATACGGTTATTCAGCATCAAGAATAACCTTGATGTTATGCATTGTGTTACTGTATAGTAAAGACCATGCATAGTACAGATGGTTTCAGTAATGAAGGTCATGAGTAGTGTAGTTTGGGCTTCCAATTTTTCACCCAAGCAAGTTCATTTATATATTATAAAGTACTGTAGTGCTGTAATTCAATTGACAAGAGCTATCAAAATACACAAAAATTTTTTAGAAAATACTCACCCAAGATGCCAATTTCTTTATCCTGAAGATGCTTTGCTATATCCTCATATATGTTTCGACCATCAAGGAAGTCCACTTGCACAACTTCAGTTTCAACTCCATATTCTTGCACTAAAAAAATGCAACTATTATATGTACAAATTATAGATTTTAAACATGCCTTTATTATACAGTACATTCTTCAATGCAACATTATTCATCTTTACTACAATTATTCATAAAACACTCATTTACTGAAGTGCAAGCATTGTGCAGATATTATAATATATATATTGCTACATTCCTGTTTTTGACAAATTCAAGACTGCCCAGCAATGTTCCAAACACTGAACAACAAACAACTTCTTGTTTCCTTACTCAATAGACAAGCACCTTCCTCAGAGCAAAAAATATTTTAAGGTCAATTTGTTTAAAATTGTAAGGCAATATACTTAAATACCTGGGACAATGCATGTACCATCAAAGTCTAGTTCCCTGCTGTATACAATCTGTGCTCCCAGCCCCGACATGAACAAAGCAGGCATCCCTATCTTAAATGAATCATTGACCCAACAAGGCCATTAACTGAGTGGTGCCTAAACAATTTAGACCTGTAAGCTGCCAGTTAAATGATCTGCAGGCCATCAATTACACATGCTGATCCAAGCAATTTTAACCCCCTGTTGTGTGCACCCATTTCATATGACAATGTGCACATGAAAATTTATTTTCTAATTCTGCATCATTAAATATCACTCATACAGTATATAAAAACTATTACTCATACCAGGAAAGACAGGACCACAGGACTAATGACACTGCAAACTAGACATGACAGCAGACCTCATCAAAGTTTAAAACATTAAAATGGAGGATATTAATCAGAAACTTCTATAAAAGGTCCCAAGTAGCATAGACAAGGAGCAATAGCTTCAAATGCAAGACACTTTTTTCCACCCATAGGGCACAGGGTTATAAACCCACGAAACTGTTTACCTGCCACAGCCATAAATGCCAAGACGTTATCGCAGTTCAAAATACTGTACAGTACTAGTGTTTGAAAAGATCCTCGGGTAAACGGGGGTGAGGGGGGGGGGGGAAGAGACCTAAGACAAGCCACCGGCTTCCTGTCATCCAAGGATGCCACTAAATAGTGGCCCTCAGGTAATTAATATTTGAAATTCTTTTTATATATATTTCATGTTATTAATACTCAATTTAATGCGATTGCATTACTGGATAAACAAAGGCTGTTGAGTGCTTATAGTAACATGGTAGCTAAGCCCAGCAATTCCAATTTCTGCAAGAATTAAGTGAACATACCAACTATTTTGGCTGCATTACCTAAGGATGCAAATTACATTAGTATGAATTAGAAAGCATATACTGTATTACTATTGCCAGATGGAGGACAACAAGGCAAGTTTGATCCACTGCATGGCAGTCCAATTTTTGAGAATGTAATATTTTTTACCTGTAACAAGTTACCTTTAGATAAATTCTATATATTGGAAAATTACTTTTTTATAAGAAAAACCCATCCTCCAAGCTTGATTTTTAAATTGGACAAGTTTAATATTAAAACTGTATTCCCTTTAATAAATTACACGAGGATCGAGTATCTAAGCCCAACATAACTGACAAGCTTCACAATACCTTTGACAGCAATAAGCACAAACAGGACTGCAACTTACCAATTTCGGTAGACACTTTTTGCAGCTTGTCTAGTGTGCGTGAGATTAGGACAATGTTCATGCCTCTCTTGGCCAGTTCTTTTGCATATTCTTTTCCAATTCCATCTGAACAGCCAGTCACAACTGCAAATACAATATGTTTATGTACCTGATCCATTCAAAGAAAATACTGTATTCAGTACATATTTAACATGTAAATTGAGATAAAGTATAAAGAAAATTTTCCTAATATAGTATAATATTTTACTGCAGCTACTCAATTTGGAGGTGACAAAAATCAGAAAAGGTGGAGGAGTTGCCATGTTGATGAAAGCACACGTTAAAGTAAATGAATTAATGATTGACAACCTACGAGAAATTGACATAATAGCACTGGAAATTTGTAATCAGGATGACAAACTGATAATCATAAATGCCTACAGTACACCAGCACAATACATGGACAAAGGAGGAGCTGCACAACAACCGAGAGCGAGCCTTAAAACACTCACGGGAGAGATTATAGTACAGTAAAAGCAGATAAAGATGGATCAGGACTGTTGGTATTCGATAACTTCAGCTTGAACTCCATAGACTGGGAGGTCTACAAATCAAGAGCAGAGGACTTCTGGAATGGTAGATTCATAATCCTGAAGACTCGTGTAGCAACACATTAAACAAGCTTCGAGAATGAAGGAAGGAGATTTTCCTTCAATGCTGGATTTGATATCCACCAGGAATGAAGCAATTTGACATTCTCTACCCATAGGCAAAAGTGACAATGTCCTTTTGGGAATTAAGTATGCAATGCATTTTAATCTAGAAGAGAATGAGGACAATGAAGCAGTTGAAAAACATGATTTCAGAAGAGGACACTATGGGGAAATAGTAAATTTGATTGGAAATATGTGCAATTAGGTAAGGAAGTAAATGAGATTTATATCATTTTAAAGATGTGGGCAGCATGCAAAGGCAATGTATCAGACTAGAAAACTGTCAAGGTGGAGTACCACAGAATTCAGTTCTTGCACCAGTAAACAATCTATGTACTGTACCAGCAGGAATACAGCACTATGAAGTTTGCTGATGATGCTAAGATGCTAGGGAAGAAACTTGGACAATTGTCATGCCTTTAAAGAAGACCTGGATAAAGGTATGGAGCTCCACTTGGCAAATGGAATTTAATGTGAATAAATGCCATGTTATGGAATATAGAATAGGATAAAATAGGCCACAGAATCTAAAAATTGTGAAAATGCTTTACAAAATTCTGAGAGAGATTTTGGGGTGGTTCTTGATAGAAAAACTCACCTGAGGACCACAAAGAACATTGTGCGAAGAGCCTATGCTACACTTTACAATTTCAGAATTGCTTTTAAATAGTACATGGATGGTGAAATACCAAAGAAATTTCACAACCTTTGTGAGACCAAAGTTGGAAAATGCAACAGTTGTATGGGGCCCATATCTTAAGCACAGTAGCAAACTGGAAAAGGTGCAAAGACATGCAATTAAATGGCTTCTGGAACAAGACGAGCTACGAGAAAAGAGGCATTAAATACAGTATTCCAAAACTAGAAGATAAAAGAAAGACAATTTATGTACAAAATAGTAATGGGTATAGACAAAACTGATAGAAAATTGAAACCTTGAACTTCAATAACAAGGTCAAATTTAAGCCAACTAAAAGCTGCTGAAGAAACAGTACCGTATTAGAAAATTAACTTTCACAAACAGTGTAGAGGGTTGAAACAAGTGAAGGTGGAGGCAAAAACTGTCAAAGCATTATATGACAGTGCTGGAAGATGGGACAATGAGCATAACATCCTGTAACAAAAATTACAGGGTAATTACTTACGTAATTTTAATTGCCCCCCAGCCTGTGGAGCCCAAGGTGGCACCCAGATACCCCCCCCCACCTTCATACAGCATATTCCAGGGTGGTAGCCAAACTCCTCCTGTGCAGCTTACTCTCAAGCAGCAGCCAGACCACCCCAGCCTATGCCAGGTTGGTAGCTTCATTGTCTAGCCGAGTTGACAATGTCACAAAAATCGTATACTGAACTTCCTATACTAAATCAAATTTAACCGATGGACCCATGAATACAAAACATGACCCTTCCTCGTCAACCTTGCTAGCTATGATTTACAGTACAGTGCACCATATTTTGAGGTTGAGGTTTTGTATGTTAAAATACAATGTACTATTCGAGAGGACGGGTTGCATTCACAACTGGTGTTTTAAATTTCAATAGGAGCCTTTATGCTGTACATACTCTCATGTACAAACAATTTATTACTATAAGCATTAAAAAAAAAAAAATTGGTTTTATCAGGGACAGGATGTATATATATTGTACATACATTAGGCTTGTATTGAAGTTTCTTCAAGGTCGAACTACTGACCTATCCCAGGATGCAACCCCACAACAGTTGCTTAACTCCCAGGCACCTATTTACTGCCAGGTGAACAGAGGCATCAAGTGAAAGGAAACTTGCCCACCCATTTCCGTCCCACTGGGCAATTAAGCCCAGGACTACCGATTGCGAGTCGAGAATGAAGCCAACTGTACTACGAGACTACATCCATCAAACTAGTTAGAAATGTAAAGAAATGAGGGCAAAAAGAAACTATGAAGATCGCATAGCAGGGCAAGCCGACAAATCCTAAAGGTTTTTTCAGTTATAGTGAACAGATTAGCAAAAAGTTGGGTCCATTTAAAACAGACAGGTCAGATAACTGATAATGACATGAGTAGTATTTTAAATATTTTATCTATTTACTAAAGAGGAACTTAACATTATGCCATCAGCCGATCAAGTCTGTTGGTGGGGAACAGGGCAGGTTGACTAGTTTAGCCGTTACAAGGGAGGATTTTAATAAATAGTGAAACTCAAGCCAAACAAATCTCCAGGGCCAGATGAAGTGTTTGCCAGGGTGCTTAAAGAATGCAAAGAGGAGCTTAGTGAGCAATTGTCTACCATATTTAATAAATCATTAGTCAGGCAGAGTGCCATAGTCATGGAAGTTTGCTAATGTACTGTACTAATTTTCAAGAAAGGAGATAGATCATTTGTGTCAAACTATCTGCCAATTAGCTTAACGTTTATTAAGGGAAAGTGGCTCGAATAAAAAATTCCAAATACTGTACCATTCATCTTTATCTTGAAAAACAGATCAATAAATGATTTACAGCATGGTTTTACTAATGGCCGTTCATGTTTAACAATTTTGCCATCATTTTATTCAAGCATAGTTGAGGCAGTTGATAGTGGTAAGGTTTGTGATGTGTGCATTGACTTCAGCAAAACTTCTGATACAGTGCCACATGAAATATTGATTAAAAAGATAAGAGGCTCATGGTATTGGGGGTGTTATATATTAAGTTGGATTAGGGCATGGCTGTACCAATGGAAACAAAAGTAAGAATAGTCAAGTCAGATTGAGAAAATGTAAGTGGAGTGCCTCAAGGCTGTCCTGGTACCTCTGTTATTCATACTACTGTATATATATAAATGATTTGAATTCAGATATGAGCAGCAATATTTGCAAGTTTGCTAATGATATGAAAATTGGGATGGAGATAAACACTGAAAAAGGTTCACAATCACTTCAAGACGATCTAAATTGGATTTCGAAATGGTCAAAAGATTGGCAGATGCAGTTTAATGCTGACAAATACAGTACAAGGTTTTGAAGCTAGGTAATAATGATAAAGTTACAAGATACAAGTTAGATGGTGTCGAGATTGTGAAGTCAGACTGCAAAAGGGATCTGGGAGTTATGCTTAATAATTTCAAACCAAAAAATCAATGCATCAATGTTCGTAACGAGGCAAATAGGACACCGATTTATTTCTCAAAACGTTAGTAATAAAACACCTGGTGTAATTCAACTATCTTGCTCTTGTTAGTTCCCATTTAGATTATGCAGTTCAGTTTTGGTCTCCAAACTATAGAATGGATATAAATTCACTAACGCATCCACCGTAGGACATCAATGTAAATTCTGCAAGTTAGAAATCTGTTATATGAAGAAAGATTGACAAAGCTCAATTTACATTCATGTTAAGAGGTGTACAAGTGGATGAATGTGCACAACAAAGAGGTTATTTTTTACCCGAGGGCCACTAACTTCATGCAGGCGACGAGTCAATAACGTGGCTAAAGAATGTTGACCAGACCACACACTAGAAGGTGAAGGGGTGACGATGCTTCAGTCCATCCTGGACCATTCTCAAGTCGAATTGACTCTAGAATGGTCCAGGACTGACCAAAATGCCGTCGTTCCTTCACCTTCTAGTGTGTGGTCTGGTCAACACTAACCCCAGTGGCCTCAATGAGGACAGGAAGGTTTTATCACCTGAAATATTAATTTCAGATAAGTTTAATTCAACATTAATCACCTGAATACAGGCTTGTCGAAGGTCCCCCCCCCCCCTGCCAATTGCCTTTATCTTTTCTAGGTATATTTTATTACAACATGGTTTTGGCAGTGGCGGGTAGGCGGTTCCATGGGGCAGCTTCCTGTGGGTGAAAAAGTATCTCCCGTTCGCAGTCCAACATTGTGGCTTGTTGAGCATGACACTTGTTCCTTGTTTGTGTAACATCTGATCTTCTGAAGAAAATATCCGGATCAAATTGTTCAGTATTTTAAGTTTCAATATCTGCCATGTTATGCCAGGTTTGCAGTATTGTTAGCCCTGAGGCCTACCAGCGGTCCTGATACAGATGACTTTGCTCTGGAATGACTTGTTGCCTATATTAATAGAGTATTAAAGCATCGACAAAATAGAATAAAATGGGTATAAATTAGATAAGTTTAGATCTGGGAAAGACCCGTGTCTTTCCCAGACCCAATAAGATTGGGTGGATATAACTAGACGCGGCCTCGTATGGGCCAATAGGCCTTCTGCACTTACCTTCATAATATTCTTATATCTGGGACACGTAGAAATCGTCTTATTTAGTGCTAGAATAGAACTACACAACACAAACTTTAAAGAAAATGAACAATTTTAAACTTTTACAATTAAAACCCCACCGACATACTGCCGCAGGCAAAATGGAAAGCTACTTCCTGATACTTTTTTTTTTGCTGGGTACAGGATTATGCACTGACCTGCCCACTTGCCGTAGGTCTCCACCAGCTTCTTGTCCCACAACCTGGACCAGAAGTGTGCCCGGAGGGCGGCGGCACCGGCCCACAGGAGGCAGGCCACCACCTTGGCCACATACAGCAGCCCCACCACCGTCAGCACGTACTCGAAGCCTCCCAGGCCAGGCAGCAGCGCGTCGCACGCCATCACGTCCTCCTCCTCGCCTGGCTCGTCGCACACTGAGCACCTTATATGGAGCGCTGCCACTGGGACGGCCCGGCTGCCAGGTGTGTGGGGAACCTCGTGGCGACATCTGGCATTATTTCAAGTTTATTCTCTTCACCAATAGATGGCAGGAGCATCACACGGTCTAATTACAAACCTTCTCTGTTAACTAACGGATCACCTCACTTGTCGATTGATTGATGATTGATGAAGATTAAGCCACCCAAAAGGTGGCACGGGCATGAATAGCCCGTAAGTGGTGGCCCATTTGAGCCATTACCAGTATCAATAGATGACACGGGAGATCTGTGGAGGTGCGACTGCACCCTGCGTGACGGGAGATGTCTCCCGTGTCACTTGTCATGCTTTAATACCTTATATATATATTGAGGTGTTAGGATTAGATGGGTTGGAAAATAGGTACAAATTGGGAGACAAGGTTATAAAGCTGCAGTTATACCATATCAAACAAGAGTTTACCATGAAAATTTAGCAAGCACATTTTCTAAGTTTACCCTCGTCAAAGAAAATAAAAATTGGAAATTTATTTATGGGCTTACTATAATAATATTTCCTCAATTTGCCAGATTTGTAGGTCATTCGCAGAATTTCTGTACATTTCACTATTATTATCATCAGATATAGAAAAGCTTTAAGTACTTATTTTGCTTATTTAATTATTATGTACCCCATTCCAACCCTGTGAATGACTGTGGAAAGGTTATAGAGGTGCATCATGGACAGAGGATGTGAACAATGTAATTCCCGTTATCAAAGACAGGAAACTGTACATTAGACTTTCGAGGCTAACCTAAGGCAGCCAGATACTGATTTTTACCATAGTGCAACTCACCACACTTGTCTAAATTTCGAGAACCTATTTACTGTTAGGTGAAAAGAAAAGCTTCAGGTGAACGAAAACGTTGTCCAAACGCTTCTCTCCTGCAGAAGGAATTGAACTCTGAACCTTTCGATTATGACATGACTGCGCCACAGGACCTTCGCAATCTCCACGCCATCTAGCTCGTATCTTGTAGCTCTATCATCATAACCTAGCCCCAAAACATTACATTTGTTACTATTCTCTCTCATCTCATTTTTTTTCTTGCAATGTATCTGTTATCATTTTATTAATTCTGCTAGAATTTACCTACTTAAAATTATCTTAGATAAAGGACCTGCCCGAAACGCTGCGCGTACTAGTGGCTTTACAAGATTGTAAATACTATGCTATGTATTCTCTCTAACCCAATTTACCTTCTTGTATATATATATATAAATAAATAAATAAATAAATTTGTCTAAAATATTTAATTTTACATTGTCTTACATTTTTTCAAATTCAAATTTTTATTCAGGTAAAAGTACATATGTAGATGATGAGTTACAAACATTCTGATTGATTTAAAGATAGAGCTAGTACATACAATACCTAAAGCCACTAATACACATAACGTTTCGATAATCAAAGATTTCGATATCACTTTCAAATCTTCGAATATATTAGATATTGTCACTGCATATCCTCTCATGTGTACTCTATATATTTAAAACTCTGAACTGTAATGTCAATCCTGACCTTAAAAGCTTGCTAGAAGATTGTAACAGAACCCATGGGCATCACACCAGAAACAAATACTTATTTGATATTCCAAGAGTGCCACTCAACCAAACTAGAAATGCTCTACAAATCAAGGGACCCAGAATGTGGAATGACCTTCCCAATCATGTCAAAGACTGTACCTCTCTCAACCAGTTTAATAGAAAAACTAAGTACTACCTAATTAACTCCATGTAACCTACCTTACCCCCTAAATGTCAACCCCATGTCTTGCTATTTTAAACAATGCTGTTTGTTGACCAACTTGTATAATTTCCCCCATTTTTATTCCTCTTTTCAACACAATTTACACTTTAAGCGCAATTACTATTAAATTTTAGTCTGGTTTTTTTTCTCCCATACCTTGCCCGAAACGCTAAGCGTATTAGTGGCTTCAGGTATTGTATGTACTAACCCTATCTATAAATCCAACTTTATGTTGGCAACTCTTCATCTATGAATGTACTTTTACCTGAATAAAATTTAAATTTTGAATTTGAATACATAATTGTTTGAGCAATGGAGATATTACAGAGTCATTGGGGAGCTGCTGTTTATTATTAGTCTCCACAATACACTACTTGTTTCTTAATCTCATATGTCGTTTATCTACTGGAAGCGAAATATGGATACAGTGCAAAGATTTCAGGTATTTTATCCATGGTAATAAGATAGGTTGCCATATCATACAGCGTGAGCTTAGATTTATCTCTAAATTGCTCAATTTTACTACAAACCAAGTGTGACGGTAAAGCGTTGGTGTTCGGCTGTTTCAAAAGCTAGGGGCAGGGCCTCGTCACATGACAAAAAAAAAAAAAGAGAAAAGTTGGTCCTTTCGTCTGTGGTAAGGTAATGGGAAGACACACAAAACACAAGTATATAAACAATGAAATTTTAATTACTCTAGAAAACAAGGTATGAATAAAGGTAATCTCATAAAAATATGCAGGACAAGTCAACAAACAAAATAACATGAATAATCACTGGCAAATGAAAAGTTACGCTAAGACAAGTAAGTTACAGTGATAGCAAAATAAAATATGAGTGCTGGAATACTGGCTTCGAGCTGCCACCTCCCTTAGTACACGAAAGCCAAGGCTTAGTCTACTAGCGAGAGATGTCAACTGCATGGAGCACTGAGATATTCTGACGAGATTGGCGCACAGCAGCCCAGACGTCGACTTGTGGTGGTGGCGGAGGGCAGGGGCGACGAGACACCAGCCAATCAGCAACAGGCAGGCAGAGGATGAGCAGTTAGCTGGTTACGGCGGTGGCCAGGTGTTGGGGTACGATTTGCTCTCTGGGCAAAACGTTTGGCGATACTTGGTGAACGTATCTTGTATTTTGACGTAATTATGTAGGGAAGGCTCAATCTCTCTTGAAAGAGATTATCGTCACACAAGATACAGTGTTTGAGTGTGTGTCCCTGTCTTTGTCCACACACTTTACACTTTACTTCATCTAGATCCCTATACAAGCCGAACTGCCAGAGATACTTGTAGCCAAATCTTATTTGAGCTGTGACAACATCTGTTGGTCTGCTGATGTTACTTGCCCCATACACATTTTTTACTTGACACATTTCATTGTGATGAACAATGGACCTGCTAGTTCCAGTTTGCACTGTTCTACTTTCTTCAAATTCATCCAGGAGTTCTCGTCTAATGACACTTTTAAGGGACCTATTTAATAACTCAAGATTCCGTTCAATACTGTCTTTATTTACTGCAACTTTAGCAAGGGCGTCAACTTTATTATGTTCCTGCAGGCCAATGTGAGAAGGAATCCACAACATTTTTATACTTACCTATATACTATACTTACTATAAGCTGCATACCTATCATAAACTATATTAAACTCTAGCATACACAATAGAAACTTCACGTTTGATTTTGGGCTTTTGTCTATCGACCGTTTATTGATCAACCATACATGTATACTTACAATTACAACCAGCAAGTATGCTTTGTTCATAGTATAGAATTTTTAGTACACATACAAAGCATACATACACCGAGAAGCAAGGTACATTTTCCAGTGCATGCTGGGCCATCATGTGTAAAGGGAGGCTTTTATTGGATTAAACTGGGGAACTTTGGATCAGTTTTCTTTGTCTGAGGTTACAGGGGGTAACTGTTCCAACTTGACCTCTGGGGCGCACAGATGATGGTACGTAAATGGATCTTTTTAGGCAAAGAAATAAAAATTTTAAAGCTGTCAGATGCCATTTTCAGTAATAAATATAACATAAAATGTAAAGATGAATAATTAATCTGTATATTAAAATGAATTTAAGAATAATCAGTAATTGTATGAGGCTCATATAAAATAACTGTAACTGATGAAAATCGAAAAAAATAGCATTTATATTAAAAAAACAGAACTGGTACTTTAAGTATTATAGACCGTGCTAATTGGGGCTTTTTTTTTTGTCCAAGTAGCTGAATCTATAATTACAACAGCACTTACACTACACAAAATGCTTGCATTACTATTTAAACAATTACAGTATATTTTAAAACTATTTCGATAACTCAAATTACACGGTACTTTATGACACATTTACAGTACTAAGTTAGAATAAAAACATAATTTGTATAAATATATGAACTTTCTCGACTGAGTGGTAGTTGGCAAAAAAGAGTGAACCGAGCTGCTGAAGGTTTCTAGTTGCAAGTCTTCAGTGCAGCGTGACGACCAGAAGATTGTATCACGCGCCCAGCCTCAGCTTCGGTGAACATGCACCATGATATATAATGTATTAAACAGTGTATCATTCAACAATCTCATAATGTTAATTAAACGTGGAAAATGCTCAATTTTCACACAAATATATATATATATATATATATATATATATATATATATATATATATATATATATATATATATATATATATATATATATATATATATATATATATATATATATATATATATATATATAAAAAGTGTTGGTTTGTGGGTATTTTGCATGAATAGTTGGTTGAGTACGACTCTTCAGCCTGGCCCGTCGGTGTGGTTTTCATGCTCAGGTCTGTTGTATCTCAGGGAGGCGTCTTACTCCTGTAAAACTATCTGCTGCAGGAGATATACCGTGTTCTCGATGGGGGCGTTACCAGGACGAGGTCCTGCCCCCCCACACTTGCTGTCGGCGACCCCTGCAGGTGAGGCGGGGGCGGGAAGTTTACACTTCTGAGTCTATAACAGGGGTTTTCTCCTCTTCTGTCTTGTCTGCTCTTGAGGTAAACCCTATTATATAATAAGCCACTCGGCTACGACAGGACAAAAGCTAATCAACCCGGAACTCTATGGAATTCACTGGAAGATTCTGGAGGCCCCGAACTGGAGCTCAACCAGGAGGGGGTGTAAGGGTGTGAACACTATTACGTGCAGGCCAGAGTGAAGGCGGGCCGACTGTAAAAATCCA